CAGAAGGGTTTGGGGGATATGATTTATGAGGAGAGGCTGAGGGAACTGGGCTTATTTAGTCTGCAGAAGAGAAGACTGAGAGGGGTATTTAATAGTAGCCTTCAAGTTCCTGAAGGCCCTTTCAAAAGAGGATGGAGCTAGATTGTTCTTGGCAGTGGCTGATAACAGAAGAAGGCGCAACGATCTCAAGTTGCTGCAAGGGAAGTTTAGGTTACATGTTAGGAAAAAATTTCTCCCTAGTAAAGCACTGGAACAGGTTACTACCCAGAGAGGTGGTGGAATCTCCATCTTTGGAGGTTTCTAAGACCTGGCTAGACAAAGCCTTGGCTGGGATGATCTAGTTGGGGATGGTCCTGCTTTGAGCAGGGGGTTGGACTAGATGTGACCTCCTGAGGTCCCTGCCAACCCTCATTTTCTATGATTCTATGAATTATAGCTCTGTAGAATAGCAGTGGATTTCACTGCTGCTGTGGTGAACATTCACCCCATTTTTTGCACTGAAGCCCATATTGGGAGGGCAAAAAAATTGCTGATGTCAGTGGCAAAAAATGGGGTCAGTTCTCTCCCCAGCAGAAGTGAGCTTCCTTGCTGCTCAATGAAACTGTGGTTCCCAGAACACCTTGCATGACATGATACACATTGCCCATGCTGCCGCAGTTTGCAGTCAGGTAGTTCAAGCAGGGCGCATCTACACAAGACACTATGTTGCCACAGTGATGAGTAATAGTGATGTAGCATCAGCGAGCATGAACTGTGACATGGACACTACTGTGCAGTAGCAACGGGCTCACCTACCCCACATTATGCGACTGAGATTACAACAGTTTAACTGTATTTGTTTCTAAATCAATATTGTGAAACTGCAATGAGCCCAAATTTTGAATGTAAAACAGATATTCAGCAACTTTGGAAATAACCTGAATGCTTTCTTTATATGTCATAAAGAAGCCAAATGCAAGCCCAGTTTGCTTTTTTTCTGAGGTCGACTTGAGGCTCAGTACTGCTAGTCATTTAAATAATTTGATTAATTATAATTTAATAAATGAAGTTTTATAATCCTACTGCTAAGCTGAAAGCTATATTTTCCATATAGTATAATTTGCATTAGAATAAAAGAGGTAGCCTGATTTCAGATGTGAATAATGATTTCTCAGTTATCTCAGTCCTAACTACTCTCATTAGGCTCTCAACCTCTGGCCTGATTTTAAATCTTTTATTGTATTTCTGGGTCTACCTACACTACAGTCATTACTATGACTACAGTGTAGTTCAGACATGCTTAAGCTTTTCAAACGAGCTAGCTCATGTATCAGTCACAGTCTAGTTTCACGAGCACTGAGCATAGTGTGGGTTAAAAACCTGCCCAAGAAGCTGGGCAAATATGAAAGCCTTTAATCTTTCCTCCTTCTGCAGCTAGGCTGCCATGAGTACCCAATTGGCTATGTCTACATTACATGTGTAGGCAGAGAAGTGACTCCAGTGTGGACATGCTCTAGAAATCATTAATATTGCATAGTAGGTTGGACTGTAATTGAAACAATTGTGTAGTTTTATGCTGTGACTGTTGTAGAACAATAGGGAGTTCTCTCTCTCTCTCTCTCTCTCTCTAGCTCTGAATTAATTTGTCACTTGGAGCCTAAGCATCATCAAATAACCTTTCTTTCTAGTGTGTGTTCCTCCTCTTAACCTGTACTATCCTCTGGTTTCTGTAGGAGAGTAAGCCTGTGGGGAGATGGCATCCCTCCTTGCGTTTGCTGTTATAACTTCTGATGTTTTCTTTCCAGTTGCCGGATTCATTATAAGGATATGTACAATTTGTTACGTGTTATTGCTCCACCCCTTGGCTTAGGAAAGAAGTGCCCTCATAGGGTGGCATACAAGGTTTGGAATTTCAGAGACTCCGTCCAGCTTTTTTCTTCTTTTCTTTTCTATTTTTTTTCCTTTTTTACCCAAACTGCAAGCGCAAACAATACAGAAAAGATACTGGAACGTGACTAACCCGTTGCCTGAAAAGGAATGATTGACTGACTGCCCCCCCCTTCCCTTGATGCATCTACTCCCACACCCCAGCTGGCTGGAGACAGGCAGCCTTATGAGACAGTGAATTCGAAAGCTTCCATCTTTCATGGTCTAGGTGGGAAGTTGTGGGGAAGAACCACAGATGAGCTAAGCTTTCCATTTATGCACGTGTGCACACACAGGGAGTAGAGAGAAAGAAGTGGCTTATTATTATTTCCAGGGAATACTGGGGAAAAATATTTGGTGATATGGAGCATTTCTTTTTAGATATTTAGCAGGTATTCAAGCTTCATTTTAAGTAGCTAATCTTTAAATGCTAATCCTTCCTGGGGAGTGTGGTCTAGTGGTCAGAAATATATAAGGTAACTCCATTCTATTCTGGAGTCTAAAGTTGTAGACTAGATGACATTTCCATAACAGTGCAGTGGTGATAACACTGTTTTTCCTATTTTGCCAGTGTTATAGATTTACCAAGTGCAATCTGTGCATAACCAACTGGGAAGACAGGCTAATGCAATGAATTTGTGTTCAATTGTTGACAGTTCCCCGTGGAGGCTTAGTGTGGTACAAACGCCTTTTATAACCAAACTCACGATCTGTGGGGATGGGGTAGCAGGTGTCAAGCCCCTGTACTCTCTAGTTTCTCTGACTGCACCCAAGTTAACAAGTTAGCTAGTGGATGTTATTAATGGGGGGACGATTTATTGATGTGGTTTGAAGAAGAAATAGTCATGGGAGGGTGAAAAATATATCCTCTTCCTAGTACCTACATGCAGACAGGAGGTTGTCCTTGTTAGATTCAAATCTGTGTTGCTAAGGGAGCATCTCTGTGTTGGATGGGGTATCACAGAACTGCAGCTTTTTCTGTGAGTCACAGCACTCCTGGTCTGCCCACATGAAAAAGCGAAAAAAAAAAGGATTCTTCTTCTTCTTTCTCTTTTAGCCTTTAACCTAAATTGGAAGCAAAACTTCTTATCCACTAAACGGAAACAGAAGCATTTAATATAATGTACATCTCTGGCTGTCCCATAACTCTGCCTACCAGCTCTCCCTGGCATGGTGAATACAACCGTTTCTTTGACTTGAAGACTTGGAAAAAAAAAAAAAAAAAGCAACCTCCCCTACCAAAAATAAGAAACACCCTTCCCTACCTCTTTCCATATGCATTAACTTGGACATCAATCATTCTGTACTGCTGCCACAGGGATTAAAATGTCAAATTTTAACCGTAGGCATGGGATTTCTCTGCAGTAAGGAGGAGATATCAGGGGGTTCAAAGGAATGAATGCTGAGAAATCCTTCAGTTTACCCTCTTTTTCCCCCCTCTTTCCTGAGAAATCTGATTAACCAGATGTGTTTTCTTGTCTGCTTTTTCCCTTCCCCCCACCCCATTTTCCCTGGTTTTGTTTCCCCCTTTGTGTTGCTCCCTTTCTATTTATTTTATTTTTAAATTTTGGTTCTGGTTTGATTTCTGTGTCCTCCTGCTTTTGCCTCTCCCTCTCCCTTCGATTCCAAGCGGGCGCATCAGTTACACTGACATGTATGAGATGCTGAGACACATGTCCCCACCTCTAGGCCTGGGAAAGAAATGCCCTGCTCGAGTTGCTTATAAGGTAGACCATTCCCAAAAAAAACCCCCAAACCACCAGTGAAAGCTTCTTGTGCCATGGCTGAAGTGGGTGCCATTTTCCTGTGACATTTTTGGTGTTCTTCTGAGTTCTTTCTGGCTCTTTATCTTCTTTCTAAGCAGACTGGATTGTAAACATTCCTTTTCTTGACAATGTTTTTTCAGTCATTGAATCTATAACACATCAGTTTGTCTTTCTAGCTATGTCTCCACCTCTCTATATAAATGTCTCTCTCTATCATTCTGCTTCCTTCCCAGTCCAGTTGGCATGCAAAGGGGACCACTAAGTAATTTGCCCCGCTGTTAAAAACCCCACTTAACTTTGTATGCCTCTTTGACTATCTACTCTGATAATTTTCTAGTTGTATGTTGTGTTTTTTTTCCTTTTAAGTAGATCAAAGTAATGAGGCAGGCAGTAATGTAGGAGGTAGCAAGTTATTAAATACAGATGACACCATAAGGGTTCTATAAATATACTTGTGGAAATAAATGAATTTCAATCAAATCGTTTTGGTCAAAATTAAAAAAGAAGTGGCTCAAACATATAATTTGCTCTAAACAAGGGTTTAATTAAACCACAAAACACATTATACTCAAAACTGTGCTAGCTGATACATTTTAGATACCACTAGCGTGGGAGGAATGATAGATCAGTGGGACCAAGTGTGTAAAGAGTAGGCTAGTAGTCCCACCAGTTGACTCCCATTGGCTTCAATGGAAGTTTTGCTGCCACCTTCACACCTGCATGAAGTGTGCAGGGGTGAAGGGTCGTAAGGAACTTCTCTTTATCTTAGGTTTCCATGCTCTCCGATGTGGGATTTTTAAAAACTTCCTGCATTGGCCCAGCTCTGCTTCCATTAAAATTGATGGGAGCTTTACTGTTAACTGTATCAGAGACGCAAGTAGATGGGTACTGAGCCTAATTCCACCAATGCACATCCCCAGCTTTGCTTTGTGTGACAGGTTGGAATGATTCTAGGTCATAGCAAACCTCTCTAGCATCTGATTTCTCATTTAAACCATGTGAAACTGTACGTTTGATCTGAGATCGGCCCAAACCCCACATCTAATTTCTTCCTGACTGCTTTTTGGAAGATCTGAACTTCACTGTGACATTTCTTAGGGCAAATAATAGCAACCTGCTTTCCACATGGCCCTTCCCTAGTGAACTGCGTTGCAGTTGCATAGAACATGAAATGGAAAAAAGTAAAAATACTTGGCCTTGAAGAGTCTTTAGTGTGTGAATGGCCAGTTAGTTCATCTTGACATATTTCTGGCATAGAGGTCCAAAGAGACATGTGAATTATGGACACGAAATACCCCAAATGAAGTAAATAATATTAAGAAAACTGGCTACTTGGCAGACTTTACTGATTGGTAAATGTACACAATTTTAACCATTTACAATATTAATAAACTATGCATGCAACAATCCAAAGGATCAAAAATGGCCACTGGTTTTCAGTGCTTCTATTTTAGGGGCCAAAACACTCTTTGGTTCTGCTTTTTAAGTGTTGATCACCTGCAGGTCGCATTGACTGGAAATAGATTTGCAGCTCTTCAACACCTCTGACAATCAGACCATAGGTCTAACATTTGTAACCCAAAAGCGGTTTTATAAGGTAGACCATTCCAACTTTCTAAAATGTTGACAGTCAATATATACTTTTAGGGTGTTTATGTGTACATCATGTGCACACATACTTATGCCCAAAATTCAGTGCTTTTGATTGTATTCTATTTTCTTAGCCTCATATAATAAAAAGAGACATTTTAAGAAGTTCATTGGCTGTTTTTAATTCTGTGTGGTTTAAAGTCTGCATGGTTTTGGTTTGACTGTTTGTTTTTTAACCTATGTATGCAGACTTTTTCCATACTGAGACCCTGGACACTTTTCTGCCTTCATTCTTCATGCACGTTAGTATATCTAGATCCATTTTAACTTGCCTTTATTTATATATGCCAATCCCACAGCATTTAGGTATTTGTTTTTAAATGCACCCTTTTTATCCCCCATCCTTAATTTTCACTCATCACTTAGCATCACTCCAGAGAGATGGGCAGGAGTATAACCGAGACCCGTAAGCAGAGGTGGGTTCAAGCACTGAAAGTCAGATTCAGATTGAGAATCTGTGTGTGTGGACAGGCACAATGTTTTCATTGGCATAATTTGCATTACGTTCATACGGAAAAAAAAAGGGGACAGATGACACAAATCCCTGCCCCGGAATATTTTAGCTCAAATGGATAGAGAAAGGGTTGAAAGGGATAATATTCTGTTGGTGAAAGTTGTGTTGACTTAAGTTTAGCCTGTCTACTCTGATTCTGGGGTAGCTGGTTCCTAAATGCTCCCTCACCAATTAGCCATGAGGCAGTTATAGCTACCTGCTATGTGCACTTCCCTGGGAGACCTGCACAACAATCTGTGGTGGACCTCAGTGTAAATTATATTGTTAAAGGGCTGTCAATTAATCACCGGTAACATGCAGGATTAACACAAGAATGAATTAACATGTTAATTAAGCACATGGTTTTGGAGCCTGCACCTGGGCTGCCCTGCCCCGTTGCTGTCACTGCTGCCTCCAAGCCACTCTGCAGGGCAGTGGTGGCAGTACAGAGGAGCCATAGGGCAGCCTAGGCGCAGGCTCCAAGTGGCTGCAGCAGGGAGGGGGGGAAGGGGGGGCTCATGTGTGCACCCACGCATCCACCCCCAATTGCCATCCAAGGCCCAGAGCAGCTAGGCTGGCAGCGCTGGGGATTCAGGGAAGGCGGTGCTGAGCTGCGGCAGGGCAGCCTAGCACCCTTGGGCCCCATGGCTCAGGCTCAGGGCAGGTTGGGACCTCCTGGGAGCTCCAGCATGAGCCACCTCCAGGCCCATGCATCCCCGCTCTGGGCCCTTAGGGAGTGGCAGCAAGAGCGGCCCCATACCCTGCACCCCTGCAGAGGCAACTGCTGCCAGCAGGTGGGGGTGGGATTTCCATGGAGCCACCTTCCATAGCCCCTGGCCCACGCCTCACCACCTGCCTGGCCCCAGCCCAGTGCCAATGGAGCCTGAGCTGCGCCCAGCACTGCTGCAACTGCAGGGCAGGGCAGAGCTGCCACTCTCCTTCCTGTGCCACCCGGGCTCCCACCGGGACCCGGCAGGTCCAGCAACTCCATGTGGGTTCCAGCAGGAGCCCAGGCTGTGCAGGGAGGAGGGCAGCGCCTCTGTCTGGTGCTAGGGCAGCAGTGGCACAGGGTGCAGCCCAGGCTCCATCTCTGTTGGGCTTGGGCCGGGCGTGCAGTATGGTGCAGGCTTGGGGCTGCAGGAGTTAACTCCACAGGAATCCTGCCCCCACCTGCTGGCAGTGGCTGCCTCCACAGGGTTGCAAGGCATGGGGCTGCCATTGCTGCCACTTCCTAGGGGCCCAGACCGGGGATGTGCAGGGACACACAAGCCCAGAGGTGACTCGTGCTGGAGCTCCCAGGCGGTCCCGACCTGCCCCAAGCCCAAGCTGTGGGGCCTGAGTGTGCCAGGCAGCCCTGCTGCAACAGCTCCAGTTGGGTCCTGGCAGGACACGGGCTCTAGGTGGCTGCAGCAGGAAGGTGGGGGGCACACCCCCTATCCCCCGAGCAGGTGGGCTGGCAGCACCAGGGGTTTGGAGAAGGCAGCACTGGGGTGGGGTGGGGCTGCCTGGCATCCTCAGGCCCCAGGCCATTTGGGACTGCCTGGGACCTGCTAAGCCAGTACATGGGGAAGTTTGGGCTGAGGCTGGAGCAGCTGTACCCCAGCCCAGGCTGCCCACGGCCATCACTGCTGGAGCAGGGGTGGGGTGAGCCCACTGCCACTGGGGCTGTGTTCAGGCAAGGGGCACACGCTGGCCCCAGGGCAGCTCTGAGGAGATCCTGCTCAGTTTGGGGATCCTTCCAGGGCATGTGGGTGTCCCCCCTCCCTGGACTCCATACCCCTGTGCAGGTACCCCTCTCCCCGTGCCCCAAACCACACGCGCACACACACCCACAGCCCCCCATACCTTCACAAATTCCCACCCCCACACCCACCCCTCAACCATACAAATTACCTGCATAATTTCGCACAATTTTGAGTTTTTTGTTGTGCGATTAAAATTGCGATTAATCACGCAACTAATTGCGATCAAACTTTTTAATCGTTTGACAGCCCTAAATATAAAGGCAAGGCAAATATAAAAATCAAGGCAAACCACCATCAATATGTATTAGTCCCTGCCCTGCGTTTGAAGCAAGCAAATTCATTGTTCTAGCTATAAAATAGATCCAAGCTAGATCCAGATCTGCATTTTCCCTCAGAATACAAGAGGTTTGGATCAATGGAGATTGGGCCCATCTCTATTCATAACTATTGGATGCTATTAGATGCTATTGGAGCATTTCACTCATTTAACCAGACACTAATTTAAGCATGTCTTAGGTAACAGTGATATCAGCATTCATTCCCTTCATTCTCCATTTCTATAACAGACCATGTCTAGGAACACTATATACAAGTAGATTTATTTGTGCTGAGCATCTTCCCTCAGGTTAGCACGGCATGTGAAGTGCTGTTTTCAGTTGCCATAGACTCCAGGGTGCAAAGCTACTGCCTCCCTGGTGTCCCATTTCTGCTGACCCTCATTTGTCCAGACCTGATGGGAAAACTCAGTGTGATGTTGAGGCACTTTGCATCCACCGTGTTACACCTTTCAGAGCGCAAACAGAGTGCCTTTCAAATAAGCAAAAAAGTAAGCAAATGAGCATTCAAATGACCCTCTCTAGCCTTGCAGCTATAGCTCAGGGGCAGCTAGTGAGAGAAGTCAGTGTTTTGTCTCTGCACTCTGTTCTCTCACTGTCAGTAAAAGTGACTTCTTATTGTTGTTCTGTCTGGCAAAAGCTGTTGCCCCTTTGTCCCTTACTTATATTTTACCCATCCCTCTGTGTTTGCAAAGATTTGGTCAGTCCGTGTTGTTTTCTCCCTGTCTATGGACCGTCTCAATATGTCTGCACAACGATTCTTTTTTGCTTTCTCCAGCTGTGAAAGGCTGCTGTCTTTTCCTTCTATTTTTTTCCTCCTCTTTTTTTGTTCCCCTTTCTTAACTATTCTCCTTGGTTAGCAAGACCAATCCCTGCAAAGTTGTTGTGCATGTGGCTTGCTACTTGCCTGGAAATGCATGAATGGGAGACTTTATTGCCTTGTTCCTGAGGGTCCTCAGGTGATGGGAGAGCTCTATCCTAAGACATGAGGGTTTCAAGAGGAGGTGGCCACCAACCTTTACATTGCCAGCATTGCTGTAGGAAAGAGGGACCCTTGACTCCATTTCAGTTCCCAGAAATTCCACCAGTAGCACACTTTCCCGTCAGAGCTATTGGTGCATTTAGAGGGGCACATTGAGACTTGACTTAAGGCATCCCAGTGCTTTTCAAACTCACAAGTAGCTGCTGGCATTCACAAGTTGTATACTGCATACTTAAAGCACAGACATTTTTAAGTAGTGACTATGCTGTTTTGGGCAGTTTTGTAACTAAATAATGATGGTCAGTCCTGTCCTTATGAGTATGTACTCATTTGCTCACAAAGGACAAATGCCTAGGGAAATGAGTGGTGCATTACCCAAATGCATTGCAAGACGTGGTTGCAGTGGGCATCTTTGTGCTGAGTGTACACCCTCTCAAAAATGTGTCCTTTAAATTAAGGCCCTCTACTGCCCGCTGCTAGACTGGACTGAGCATTGTGACAGCACACCTTGAGTCAGCTCGCAAGGCAGGAGCTGGGGACAGGTGTTTGAAATCACTGCGCTCAGCTAATGATGATGGGGTTCTCAAAACAGAGCAGTTTGTATACAATGTCGAGATTTCCATGCATCTGCAGAGAGAACAGGAGAACGAAACTCTGTCTATACTATATGGTGATTCACTGCTATACATCTAATATCTACAAGAAGCAGTGTTTGGAGGAGAAAGGGGGCAGCGGAGTAGAGATAGGATTTTTGAGTATAAGCAGTTTTATTTCTATCAGAAAAACGCACATTCCACCCCACTGAAGGCCACAGCTCCAATTTGCTGGGAATATTTGGGCCATCCACTGTCCTCGCTCAGCTGGAACAGGAGTCGTAGCCCCTGGTGACAACAGGTGGCAGCCTGCAGAGCTTTGTCTTTGTCTGATTAGTCCACCACTGGGATCAAGGTGAAGCCTTGCACACTGAGGTCTGTAGTGTCCGTGTGCCTTAGTGAAGATGAGAAGGTGATTCCAGACTTTGTTTTCAGAATTCCTTACACCATATCAAACCAGCCAGACTAGCATTGGAAAAGTGAAGTATATATCTACTGCCATCCTATTTTCACTGTTGTCATATGTACAGGGGCACTTTGTTCCAGGCTGGTTTTTGGAAAAAAATTGCCTCCTAAGTTTTGTATCAAGAATGGGTTGGCTGAAGCTTATTGTTTGGGTTAGTCTATGAAGAGCTCGAGAAAACAAATCACATGCTTTTAACTAGCCTCTGCACCGGCTGGCTGGCCATTCTGCCGTCTCTGTGCCATGTTTAAATGGGGAAATGCATATAGCCAGCTAGACATTAAATAAGTCAAAGCAGAAGAGTTAGAGCTAGAACTGGGTGAATTATAGCAGAAAACGTATTCACCAAGTTCAGCCTCATTTTCTCTGAGTGATTGTCTGCATTCAACGCTTTTGAATGTATTTGCCATTGGAAGGTACTCTTTGAGTGTGGTCCTTGTCCATAGGCTGCCACTGAGTAGGGACCTACTGAAAATGCAATTTTGCAGATTTCACAGAAAACACGAAATCCAGCATTGGCCACAAAATCCACGGAAAAAGAAAAGAAAACATTAAAAATAAAGCCACAGTTTTCATAGTACTGAGGCCTGGCCATGCAGGCCACCAGCATGGACAGGAGGGGTGCCAGCACACAGGGGAGCCCAAGATGGTTGCTGCCCCCGCCCCATGCCACTGATTGGCTGAGAGGGCTGGCTGTTGTGTACCCGTGCCGCTTTCCACCAATCAGCACTGAGGGACAGGGACAGTGGTAAAGAGCATGGCCACTGGGGCCTCTCAGCCAATCAGAGCTGTATGTGGGGGGCAGCCCTCGAATATGGCAGCCAGCCGTGTGGTCTGCCTGCCAAATTGGTTGGCTGCCTCTTTAATTTGATAGACCCCCTACCAATAAATAGCTCCAGGTGTATTTTCAGGATCCCAAATTTGAGTGGGTTTGGCTTGTGTTAAAGGGGTTCATAGATCACATAGTATTACTTCTTTTGCCATAAAAGTTCCCTCCTGTGCAGAAAGCCTACCAAAGTTAATCTGGAACGTATATAGGGCATAGATTTTATATGGGCCCTCGGCACTAAAATGATTTTCCCGTGACAGTCTCTAGTGCCTGTTTAAAATCTCCTGTTTCCAGGGCCATTCCACCCAGTAAAGTTTTCTAGCATAGTAGTAGCAGAAAGTGAGCAGAAAAGAGGCATAAACTGAGGCAGTGGTATTTCCACTTTTTATTCAAATGAATCAGCATGTTTTTAGGTGTCTATGTTGATTTTTTTTTTTTTT